CTATAAAAAAAAAATGGACTGACCGTTCTGCAGAAACACGTGACATCTCCTCTCTGTCATCATCAAGGTTACACTTTTCTTAGTTGGGATAGAGCTTTCGTTTGTAGTGAAGTTTGTATCTTCAGTCCGTGGTCTTTAGGTAAAACAATGCGTCAATGTGAAATAACTTTACTACATTGATATCAGGATTACTTGTCGTGAACGACAGAATAACGTTCCAGCCCACTCTGAACTGCCTATCAATAGGTTTTTGGTCCTGTGCTAGAACATTCATTCCATTTCCCAAGAGTCAAATCAGCATTGACAGGAATTATATTTGAGACAGCAGAAGTTGGAATAGAAAAAAACGACACAGACAATGAACATACTTTAAAAAGATAAATGCTTTGATCATTTAAAAACTCGCATGAACTGGTAAAAGCGCCATGAAGGGGGATAATGTTAAAATTTATGAAAGAAAATCAATTAAAGAATTTATAGCACGAATCCGTTTTTTTTTAAGCTACACCTTGTATATTTCGATTTATGAAGACTGCGCCTTTCCCGTTTTAAACAGAACAAATCGCAGGTAATAGTCAATATAAAAAATTTTTGTTGTATTTAATCAATTAGAAGCACTTGTTGAAGAATAATAGTAAATTAATATTTTTTGTAAATATATAGGGTGGGCCATATGTACCGCCTAAGTTTTTAAAACCAAAACTATTTTTTAAAGCAAACTATTATTAATTTTTCATGTAGATTCACACGACTAAATACTCGTATTATCATTAAAGAACACCCTTGTATATCTCGCTGTGAAAACAGATTAAAAAAATAGAATTCTTTGCAGCTAGAAGCGTTACCGATAACCCACACTGTATATATAAAAAAATAACGATTTCAATTTGGAAGTAGCAAAAATTTTACAAACAAATTTTTGTAAAACTCATTTCATTTTAGCAACAGAAGTAAATCGTCAAGTTTAAGATATTTATGACTTAAACATAACTAAAATAAAGTCTTTTTATTAATCACGTATAAAACTAATCACAGCTAACACATTTTATTTCATAAATAACCATAAACATGTAGGTAACTTAATAATACTGTCAAGTCTATAAAAAATAGTAATGGACCGTAATGTTCACAGACAAATCCGACGGGTTAGTCTGAAAAGTTAACTAGTCCAAACTGTATTAACTAAATTGTCTAAATTTTTTATTAACAAAGAAAAATATAGTTTAAAATAGAAGAAACGACAAATTATTAACAAATTTTTATATATTTTAATAATGTTTTTGAATTTAAAATAATAAAAAAATTACCAAAAAAATCTAAAGGTTGGAAAAAAGTTGTAATAAAAAATCAAAAATACAAATATTGTTCCCAAATAAAAAACATCCAGACTGGAAAAATATTTGATTTTGTCTTCTATACCCAATGTCGACTGTTTTTCACTACTTTTCCGGACATGTCCGTCGGATTATTCCAAAAATTACTTTTCCTGAAAAGTCCTATCACTAATAAGAAAATATGAGATTTTACAATAAGTCCAAGACGCGTGTCAACAACTTTAAAGCTTTCTGTGCAATTAATTATTTTCGTTCGCTTGTCTAACTACACAAAGAGCCACAAAACTCGACTACAAACTGATTTCTATCGATCAGTAGCATCCATGGACTAAACATTTTAGCAATCAATTGAATGGCTAAAAAAAATCCTATTAACATTAAAAGCTATTTTAAAAAAAATTGAAACTACCTAATACTCCTCCGAAAATATTCAGACAAGACTATAATAGCCGCAGCACCAATAAGGAAGAGTCCAGCAGGAGCGGCCGCTACAATTCTCTCTTCTAATGAACAATAAATACAGTGTTAATATTTAATAACTCAAAAACATTACAACTATATACTGTGACGCGGAGCAAACGATCTTGAAGCCTGCCACCCGACTCATGATCGAAAAACCGGAATCTTCTAGTGCCGAGTTCGGAATGTGGACTCCTTTTACTTATTTCACTCCATAACTAACTTCAGTCCATACTAAATCATTGTAAGTGGTGTGAAGTTGGATAGGAGTTAAAAGTGTAAAAACGAAATCACATTCCGAACTTAGCATAGGTTAGGTATGCCGCTGACGTATAGAGACAGACGGATTGCGGCGTATGAGTCATAGAGAGGCAGTTCTCGATCATTGTGGAAAGCCTGCAGAGTTGGCCTTTATAGAAATAGCGCGAGTTGTCGACGGACAAGCAGACTGAGTGTAAATGTTGGACAGGAAAGATTAATATTAATAAATTAGAATAGTGCTTAAGTATTATATAAATCAATTAGTAAGTCATAAATAACTTGTAAATAGTGTGTTTGCTTTAATTTTTTGATGTATGGTTGATTAATATGTAAAACTTTGGTTTTATCATTATTTTGAAAAATCTGACATGAAAACATAGTTTTTAGAAATCTTAGAAACCGTTATTAATTATTTTTTAAAATTGGTTAAAATTAGTGGCTAAAACGCCACGTTAAAACCAACCTTCTGATGAAATGTACTCTTAATTATCGTACCGTACACTCTCAAGGCATCATTCATAATACGAGGGTGGATCAATAAGTACCCGTGTTTGAAGGCAAGTGGCGTTGCTGAGGGAAGTTGGCATTACTGTCGTGTACTGTCATCTGTCACACGACACCATACTAAAACCGTTTTAAAGCTAAATTACTTGCTAAATACCTTAAGGGTGGAGGCCAAAAAACTAACATAAGAAGAAGAAGAAGAAGAAAGCGACCAATCGGTAATTTTCGGTATTTACCATTTTAATTAAAGCGATGTTGGTTATCCTTGGTTACTTTCTATAACGTCATATTTAAGCCCTTTGAAACGTCATTAATTATAACCGGTAAATACCTGAGTCCAGGCGTGGATTAATAATGACAAGTGGAAGTGACATGTAGTTAGTGTTTTTTGGTTAGAATATAGGATTCTCTCAGTCAAAATTGGAAATTACATTACACTTTTATTTAAGTATATAGACATACCTACGAAAATTATCAAATGCTTCTAAGGCTCTAACGAGGAGGTTGAAGCGTATTTTGCGGAGTTCGAGAAATCATATTTTTTGGAGGGGTTAAATAAATGGCAGAAACGTTGGGAAAAGTGTATAGCAATAAAAGGAGATTACGTTGAAAAATAGAAATATTTTTTTTTTTTTTTGAAAAACTTGCCTCTTCCTTTCTAACACGGGTACTTTTTGATCCACCCTCGTAATTCGTTCTTGCTAGATATATGATGGAATTAGAAATTAAATATCGTTGCCACTGTTTTTATTAAATACAGGATGAATTAGAAATAATGAATCAAACTTAGGAATACTTTTCTATTCCATTACTCCATTTTTTTCAATTTCTGTATTTAAAAATGAAAAATATCTGTTACCTAATAATAGGAAACTAACGAACAACAAAAAATGTTTTTAAAGTAGACCAAGGAAAAATCAGCAGTGTTGGAGCGTATAATTCTTCGTATTTTTACGTGGCAGTTTGAATTTATTGTAGAGGCGTTACTATTACCTCTTTGACCCCTAGAATTTTTCATCTCCATCTGTAGCTACCCGAGTACTTTCGACGCCGTTTCGAAACCATAACCAAAAATGTGGGGCTCGAGAGCCGCCCGGAACCAGCGCCATTAGTAAGGGACAATTTTCTCAGAGGCGAGAAAACCCCTTACAGTACTTATCACAGACCCAGTATAATTAATAATACAGTATCGACAGCTTGAATCGGCTCCTTCGATGTCGGAGTGGTCAGATTTTTATTGACGGTTGACGTGTTTGCCGCTTATTTCTACATTGAAAAATGTAACTTCAAAATTTCTTGTCTCTTTGTCTGCTTGAATAAAATATCACACGATAAATAAAAGATGAAAACTAAGTCTAAATATAATAAAAATGTATTAAATATGGAACCCTCATAAACGACGAACTGTCGCTACTGCATTATTAATTATCAGGGCCGACTAAAGGGGGGGCGGCCGGGATTAATTTCCGGGGCTCGGGCTTAAATGGGAGCCCGGAAGCGCTGGTGTTTGTTACTTTCAAAAGTTCCATAGAAGAGGGGGGAAGTTCTTGGTTGAAGACCTTTCTTTTAGAGAGAGATTCAGGAGGAAGAGAAATTTTTGCTTGAAGGCCTTTTTTTAGAGAAATTTAAGTAAAGGAGGAGAAATTTTTGCTTAAAGACATTTTGTTATTTAATATTTTATAAAATTGCCAGGGGGCCCGATCTGGAGAATTATCCTGGGGCCCGGTCTGGCTCTCGGCGGCCCTGTTAATTATACTGGGTCACGGACATGACTCGTATGTCTGTCTTAGTCATAGTCTACAAAGAGAAACATTTGTATTTAAATTTCTTGATTTATTTTTTCTACATATTAGGTATGAAGCTGCCTCAACTGTATGTGATATATTGGAATTATTAATATAATTTTCTTTGATATGAAATTATGATACAAATTAGGATGATATTTATTCTGCTGAATTTTCTAGAAAAAGTACCTTGAACAGTTAGGAAGATAATAGAAAGTTATCACATTGGATTTATTTTAGTGTTATTTAAACAAACGATTATCTGAAAGTTACTCGGTCTATTTCGTTTTAAGTGATTCACCCTGTATTTAAAAAAAATAATAACTTGTAAAATGGACAAAGGGACGTGATATAAAGACATTTAGATTAATTAATGATGTTATTTAGTGATGTAAATGATGATTTTGAATATGTTAGGTTGTTTCTTTAAGTAAAAAAAAAGTATAAAATTGTTTACTACAAACAAAAGTACATTCTGTATTATGTCTAAAGAAATATATCGTCGATTTACTGCCAAAACAAGATAAGTACATTTTATTTTCATTTTTGAGTTGAGTACATGTCTAACATTAAAACTGATAATTGTATTAAACGCGGAATACGTTGATACGCATATGCACATAAAAGACTAAGTGCATTACAAGAATTATATTAGCAGCTAAAACAAGACAAGTGCATTTATGTTAGGTTTAAAAATTTTAATGTAACTTTGTTAGGTAATTTTTTCATAGGGAAATACACCTACGGTTAGGTTAGATAGATCTAAATATCTATCTAACCTAACCGTAGGTGTATTTCCCTATGAAAAAAATATATTCAAATTATGTATTTTTACTTGCCTATCTGTATACAGATATAAGGAAAGTATAGGAATCATGATTTTTTTCGACCTCGAGTTTTCGACGGATTTTTACGTTTTGAGGTCCCCTGAATCCGTTTTGACTATTTTCGCGATGATGTCTGTGTGAAATATAATTCTCTATAAATTTCATCCTATGCATAATATTTCTAAAATGGACCGTATTCAAGATATTTGATAAAATGTGTAAAATTCTGATTTTTTAAAAAAATTGTTTAATTAAAAGTTGTTTGCGATATCGATTTCTATAATTTTTGTTTTTAAATGATTTTTCTAAAATGGACCGTGATGGAAAAATTGAAGGAAAAGAGTTAAATTTAAATTTTTCAGTATTTTCGTTTTCAATGAATATCTATAGAAAAATATTTCGAGTTAGATGTATGTGGAAAATGTATATATTTAGTTTATCCTCTAAACATTTATAGAGATGTTGCAATAGGTTGTACAAAATAACCAAAAAAGCCTATAATAACTAGATAGGAAAATCGTGTGTTGGACACATCATATTTTTATAATTTTTTAACACTTTTCTTCAAAACACGCCGCTTTTTTAATCTTTTTTCCACTGTGAAATGTCCATTTTGTAAACTCAAACATCAACAAGCCAAATTGGCTCTATTAAACCAGCGGCAGGAATATTTTTGTGTTCTTTGGGAACATTTTACCTCATTGATGTTTTACAGTGTTACTGATACAGCAGTAATAATGACATTTAAAGAATACTTTGTAATTGCTATGTTTGCTTTCTTAAATATAGTTCTTTGTAGCTGCAATGAGAATATTTTATATTTGTTAAAACTATTTTGCTTTATACATGTTGCACAAATTGCCTTAACAAGAAAATGAGACGACTTCCCTTATAAGTGTTGAATTTATAACCAACGTATCTTATTGTTATATCAAACAGCATGATTTATAAATTTGAACGTTTTTATATTTATACTTACCTTTAAAATGTTACTAAAGACAAATATAAAACCGTTATAAATCAAAAAAGCTTTAAACAAGAAATTAGTGTTATAGATAGCTGTTCTTAAGAAATACTCAGTATATCTTACAAGAAAAATTTGTAATGTATAATAAATATGCTGTAAGAATATTTATATAATATTATAGTGCTATTTTGTTTTCAACAGCTAAATTTTATCATTTGCTATATTTATGAGTCAATATTGAATTTCTGAAACAACTATAAAACCTTTATAAGAATTGAATGTTCTGTAATTCAAAGGTTATAAGAGAAGTGTAATGGTTGGGGAAACATGTGTTTTGGGTAAAGGCCGTCCTGTAAATGAAATTAAAATCACAAAAGCGTACAAAAGATGTAAGCCCATTTCCGTTAAGAAAAAACAAGACCTACTAAATGTGTGTAAAAGTGATGTTATCCCTGTAGAATACCATCAATATTACAAATTCTTGCCTACCTCAAAAGAGGTAGAAGATTTAGTTCCAGAGCCAGCAGCTTATGATATAGAAGAACTTTCTAAAGAAGAGAAGGATAAATGAAACAAAAAAAAGACAAGTGCACAAAAAGTATTTTTTTCTGCTAAATACTTTGGTAGTTTTTAAGTTTTATAATAAATTTTTCTATTTAATATCCAATTGTATTTTTCGTCAAATATTAAAGTTTTAAACATTAATAACTCAAAACTATAAAAAATGTAACTTATCTTGTTTTGGCAGTAACCCGACGATATTTTTGAAATTTATACAAAAAAAAAGAATTATCATAATTTATAACCCGGTTTTAGAGTGAATAAATCAAATTAATTTCAATTTCTAAACAACCTGACATATTATTATCTATTATTTTTGATGCCAATTAAGTTAATGTTATTGAATTTACCTGATTTGTTTTCGTCCCATTCTACCATTCTAGGTAAATCTAGCGGATACAAGTAATATTTTAATAAAAAAAAATATACTAAGGAAATCGAACTACAAAACTTACTTATTTCGTTTACAACCCCTCCAGTTTTTATCCATCCTAGACTTCGTTCAATACCCATTTTCCATTTGGAAAACTTGATGTTTCGTACTGAAATACAATTTGTTAAAAACTTATTTCATAACAAAATATAGTATGGAATTTCTATTAGAATTATTACTACATGTTCAAGATAAAAAATATATCTCTGTATATCTCAATCTAGTATTTTTAAAAGATACTTTCTAAAAGCACTTACAGTCTTCAGAGATTTGAGGTTGGAACGTGTCACATGGCACTGGTAGTATTTTGTCTAATTCCCATACAGCAATTCCTTCTGCGATACCTGCTGCGATAGCAGCTCCAAAAGAGGTCGTTTCAGTCAGTGTTGGTCTAACTAACCACAAAATTATCATTAAATCAACATGTATAATAATTTTATTATTATTATTATTATTATTATTATAAAAGTAAGATATTATTTAGTTTCTTGATTTTATAAAAGAATATTCTTAAAGTTACTAGCAATAAAGAAATAACTAATAAAAAGTCGTTTTTTTACTTTAGATAATACATTAGTATATAGTGCGTTTACAGAGCAAAATAAAGATGAGACGCTTATTATATTTGAACGTGAAAAGTACAAAGAGAGTAATTGGTTTAACCACGCCCTTTCGACGGCAATAATGAGATATTACATCTATAATGTTTCTCTCTATTTCATAGCATGGTGTTTCTACCAAAAATCCACTAAAACATTCTGTGTGAAAAAGAAGATTTTCCCTCAACGACACTTAAAAATATCTTGCTTGAATTGTTAATTTTCGTACAAACAAACCAAGGAAATCTTTATTTATATAAAATTTTGCTACTGTCAGGAAATTATCGGTGATTGCTTCAACTGAAAGGCATGATTATGCCTGTAACCGAATCAAATAAATGTTTGTTTGAAATTGATGCAGTTTGTAACAAAGAAAGGCTGATATATCATATTCTATAAAGGTAAATTCCGAAACGGATTTCATAAGAATTTATGCTTTTAGAATTTTGTAAAGACAGAAATATGTACCTACTTTGAGAAGATGCGATAAAGAGCAAATCTTTAGTAAAACTAAATAGGAAAATTCGTCCAACTGTGCAAACAGTAATGCCAATAAGTAAAAATGTATTGGATTTCGATTTATTTGCGGTACATTTCATGGAAAAATTCGGATGAACATTAGTTTGACTTTCGTAACCATAATTTTTATTTAGTCATTTTGAAGAGTTCACCGAAATTACCCTGAAACGAAAATTTTTAGTAAAGCATAGAGAATCAGATAACAACCAAGGTTTTCATATTTTTTTAAAAAGTTTTACTATGCGCTGAGATAAGAATGATCGGAAGGTATTATGTATACATTTTTCGGAGTTTTGCCCTAGTTTTTTGTATTTTACTGAAAAGCGATGCATTTTCATGAAAAATTTTACTGGACTTTTTTTGAAGAACAAACGATTTTCTATTATGTGTCCCTATGCATTTGTTTCCAAGCTGGTGAAATTTTGTCAAAGAAGAAAAATAATAAAGTCAAAAATGTAAAAGTCAAAAAAGTAACAAGTAGGTCAAAAAAATCAAAAAAAGTAAAAAAAATCAAAAAAGTAAAAACGTTCATTGTTATCTAGGTTTCTATGCTGTATTAAACATTTGGTGAATTTTGGTGAACTAATAGTAACAGGTTCAAAGTGGAAGCCATAAAACATGTAATTTTCATAATTTACAAAGGAAAATAATTCCAAACTCAACTGTTACCAAAATGTTAAAAAAAATCCATTATATAGTGTACATTGTATAATTTATTATATAATGTGGGACACACTGTATAATAAATTGCAACGTGCTTCGAGCACGTCGTTAACAAGACATTGTATTCAGATATTGTAGTTAACAACGTGCTTGATAGAATGTAGTGTTATAATATGTTATACAGTATACATTGTATAACAGATTGCGACGTGCTCTTCGAGCACGTCGTTAACAACAATATTTAAATACAATTTGTTGTTAACGACGTGCTCTTCGAGCACGTGGCAATCTATTAATAGTACATTGTCTAATAGATTGTGACGTGCTATCCGAACACATCGTTAACAACGATATGTGAATAAAATTTGTTGTTAACGACGTGCCTAAAGAGCACGTCGCAATCTATTATACAACACACTGTATAATAGATGACGACGTGTTATTTGAGCACGTCGTTAACAACAAATTGTATTCATAGATTGTTGTTAACGACGTATTTGGATAACACGTCACAATCTATTATACAATGTATTATTAATAATTTGCAACATGCTCTTTGAGCATGTCGTTAATAACAAATTGTATGTAAGTATTATTTATTAACGACGTGCTCGAAGAGCACGTCGCAATCTATTATACAATGTGTTATTAATAGATTGCGACGTGTGCATCGAGCACGTCGTTAACAACAAATTGTACTCAAATATTGTTTATTAACGAGGTGCTCGAAGAGCACGTCGCAATCTATTATACAATGTGTTATTAATAGATTGTGACGTGTGCTTCGAGCACGTCATTAACAACAAATTGTAATCAGATATTGTTTATTAACGACGTGCTCAACGAGCACGTCGCAATCTATTATACAATGTGTTATTAATAGATTGTGACGTGTGCTTCGAGCACGTCATTAACAACAAATTGTACTCAGATATTGTTTATTAACGACGTGCTCGAAGAGCACGTCGCAATCTATTATACAATGTGTTATTAATAGATTGCGACGTGTGCATCGAGCACGTCGTTAACAACAAATTGTACTCAGATATTGTTTATTAACGACGTGCTCGAAGAGCACGTCGCAATCTATTATACAATGTGTTATTAATAGATTGCGACGTGCTCTTCGAGCATGTCGTTAACAACAAATTGTACTCAGATATTGTTTATTAACGACGTGCTCAACGAGCACGTCGCAATCTATTATACAATGTGTTATTAATAGATTGTGACGTGTGCTTCGAGCACGTCGTTAACAACAAATTGTACTCAGATATTGTTTATTAACGACGTGCTCGAAGAGCACGTCGCAACCTATTATACAATGTGCACTGTATAATAGATTGCGACGTCGTTAATAAACAATACCTGAATACAATTTGTTGTTAACGACGTGTTCTACCAACAATAAAATATTAAGTGTAATACCTCACACACTTATATTTGTTCTCTAAATGTAATTGAGCAGACAGTTTAAAAAAAATTTGAATGATCACTTTCCGCGCATGTACTGTAACGGCGAAAACCTGTTTCTTAGGTTCTGTAGGAAATCTTCAGCTCTACAAGTTTACTTTGACGAAATTTTCCACCAAAGTGCGTAGTTTTTACATAAAATACGAAAAACCGCAGAATATATACATTTTTTTGAGCGCACCAGCGGCAAAATTATGAAATTTAGCACAAACGATAGAAAATCGTTTGTTCTTTAAAAAATGTCACGTACAATTTTTCATGAAAATGTATCGTTTTTGAGTAAAATAAAAAAAACTGGGAAAAAACGTCAGAAAATGTATATATAATACCTTCTTCCGATCATTCCCATCTTTGCATATATTGTGAAATTTTGTCAAAAGAAGTCAAAACCTTTATCATTATCTAAGTCTCTATTCTATACTGAAAATTTCGCCTTAAAAACCTAATTCCAGTGGACTAAGTTATACGAAAGTCAGATAATATAATTACTCCTTTGAAATGTATTACGAATTTGAAAGAGATAAACGCTACAATTTCAAATAAGTTACCAGGAAATTACAAAACTTATGTACAAGAAAACAAAATCGTTGATATGAAGTTAAAAATATGATGTTAAAAATAACCTATTTTTAAGTATCTTCAGTAACCAATAAATGACATGAAGCATGTTTCCGGCCACCACGAGAACATCTGTATTAATAGTAATCATTTTGAATTATAGATTCATCAAGAAACTAAAATGTAACACACATTCAACTTCTTTAGAATCAACTTACCAACGGGAATGCCGGTATAATCGGATTGCATCTGCATTAGGTAATCATTAACTGTCATTCCCCCATCGACTAACAGCTTATTTAGAGGCATACTACAATCTAACGTCATGGCTTCTAATACGTCTCTAACTTGAAAACAAACCGCTTCGAGAGCTGCTTTCACTAAATGCCCCGGTTTGGTTTCTTCAGTCAATCCACAAATTACGCTGATAAAATAAACGAAATAGTGTTATCAATTGGAATGTAATTCAATCCAAGAGGATTGAAGAACACAGGGGAAAAGGATCAGTCCCAAAAACTACTTTTTATAGAATAAACAAAACAAAGTTTACAGATTTATATTTTTACGTCGTATGGCTTTTAATCTTAATTAATATACAGAAACTGTGATCGTTTTACTCAAGCTCCGGTCATACCAGAAGAAAAACTGGGTCTTAAACTACAAGATAGTGGTGTTAATTCATTAAGATTACAAAAAAATAAATAAATTTGCTTTGTCGAAGTCTCCATCGATTATTTCCAAACTGTTCCTTAACAAAAGATTTTTTTAATTTGCAATTTTTGAGTAATCATCAATTGTTCTACCGGAGACGCTAATGGCTGTGACATACAGGAAAAATCAAATATTCTATAAGTATTTCACTAATTCTCACCTTCTAGCGTCTTGTCTCCAATAAGGGGCATACAATCCTGAAAAAGCAGGGACAAAAACTACTTCACCCTCAGTGCCAGCAGATTGAGCTAGTTCTGTTGATTCAGCAGCATCTTTCAGTATTTCCAAATTATCCCTTAACCACTTAATGCTTATACCTAAAAATCATGACTGTCAAGTTAATATTATAGGAAAAAATCAAATTTCTCAAACGTGAACAATTTAAAAATAGAAGGAAAAGAGAAAAAATCTCAAAGACACTTTCCCTCTTGAAAACAACGCCTGTAAGGGTACTAATCAAGGGAGTGGTTGTTTTTAGGAAGGAAATGGTCACTCAACAGTCAATTTTGCTTTGAGATTCTTTCTTTTCTTTTTATTTCTATTATATTGTTATTTATAAATATTTCAAGACTAGTTGAATAAAAAAAGTATGTAGAAACTAGCCTGCTATAGCAACAGATCCTTCTAAGGCGTAAATTGGTTGTGTTTTGGGACCGAATTGATAAGCAACCGTAGTAAGTAGTCCATGAGACGATATCACCCTCTAAAAAATACACAACATAACAAAACGATTCTTAAAAAAAAAAAGAATAAAATAAAAACTTACACGTTGACCTGTGTTATAAAGAATGAAACACCCTGTACCATACGTACATTTTGCTTGAGCATTTTTAAAGCACATTTCACCCACTAAAGCAGCCTGCTGGTCACCTAAAATCTGAAAAACAAATATATAGTGTGTGCCATAAAGTTGGATACATATAGAAATTATTTTTTATTATGATTGAAACAAAAACATCGTAGGACAATCACCTCTGCTTATTTAAAAACTTAAATCAAATTTGCTGTCAAATTGGTATTTAAAAAAAAATCTTTAAACTATTTTTTCAAAAAAATACCGAATTTGACAGATAACTAATTAAGTACATAGCCAATAGTTTAATATGGGATACTAAAAGTATAAAAAAAGCCTTATGACGTTTTTTCCCAATCTTATTAAAAAAAATCCCATATGGATCCAATTTTATGAAACCCAGTATATGATGTTTTTTTTTTGTAGCAGGACTTTAAAATTAAATAGAATTAAAATTAATACAAAAAAATGTATGTAAACACAGTTTTAACGATACAGTGTTTAAATAAATAGCTTTTTTTTTACTTTTCTGTCTGTATACAGATAAGAAAAGTATAGAAATCATGATTTTTTTCGAAAAATTCTAAATTTTGGGGTCCCCTGAATCTATTTTGACTATTTTCGCGATGATGTCTGTGTGTGTATGTGTCTATATTCTCGATAATTAATGAGCTGATACAGAGAAAAAAATGTTAAACTTAGGCTTTAATCTATCCTATGGTGAGAGGATTAAATTTTGGACATAGTCGGAACATCTGGAGGGTACTTTATGAGGGTCGTTTTTCTACTTTATAGAATATATGTTATTTATGCTTGGAGAAGAAAATTATTCGAATAAAAGTTTTTTACAATAATATTATTAATATTTTTTGTTCTATACAAAATTTTCCTAAAATGGTCCGTATTCCAAAAATTTGACAAAATGTAAAAAAAAATAATTTTTTATAAAAATTGTTCAAATAAAAGTTGTTTGTAATATAATTCTCTATAATGTTTATTCTATACATAATTTCTCTATAATGTTTATTCTATACATAATTTCTCTAAAATGGACCGTATTCGAGATATTTGCGAAAATGTGTAAATTTCGAATTTTGAAGAAAACTCAAAAACGGATAAAGGAAAAACATTACATTTTAAACTTAAGTTTTATTTCGGCCTGACGTGAAATGATTAGATTTTTGACAAAGTCGGAACATCTGGGTGGGTACTTTATGGGAGGCCGTTTTTATATTTTATGGAATATATCTGTTATTTATGTTTGGAGAAGAAAATTGTTAAAATAAAAGTTACTTCTAATATTATTATCTACAATTTTTGTTTTATGTCAAAATTTCCTGAAATGGTCCGTATTCGAGAAATTTGACAAAATGTGCAAAATTCTGATTTTTAAGAAAATTATTAAACTAAAAGTTGTTTGCGATATCGATTTCTATAATTTTTGTTTTCACAAGACTTTTCTAAAATGAACCGTAACGGAAAAAATGGAGGAAAAGTGCTAAATTTAAATTTTTCAGTATTTTCCTTTTCAATGAATATCTATAGAAAAATGTTTCGAGTTAGATGTATGTGGAAAATGTATATATTTAGTTTATCCTCTAAACATTTATAGAGGTACTACAATAGGTTGTACAAAATAACCGGAAAAAGCCTATAATAACTAGATAGGAAAGTCATGTGTTGGACTCATCAGATTTTTTTTTATAAAAAACGTATTTTATTGTAAAACTTTAATTTAAACACCAGGTATATACAGATTAAACACCGACTAGAATCTGGTTGGACGGTGGACTGCAATTCAAATTAGGTGGTATTTTTTTCATAGGCAAATACACCTATGGTTAGGTTAGATAGATAATATCTATCTAACCTAACCATAGGTGTATTTGCCTATGAAAAAAATATAGCAATATATTCAAATTATGTATTTTTACTTTCCTATCTGTATACAGATATAAGGAAAGTATAGGAATCATGATTTTTTTCCACCTCCAGTTTTTGACAGATTTTTACGTTTTGAGGTTCCCTGAATCCGTTTTGACTATTTTGGCGATGATGTCTGTGTGTCTGAATGTGTGTCTGTATCCAACATAACTCATGAATCGATACAAAGAAAAACACCAAATTTGAAACTTAACTTTTATTCCAGCGTCCAATGAACTGATTAGATACCACTGAGCCACCCACCCAAGTCATGTGTTGGACACATCAGATTTTTTAGTATGACAAAGTTTGTAATGGACAGATACAATTTTATTGTAGCCGCTAGGGGGCGCTATTTATTGTATTTAATGGCTTTTAATATCTTATTTCCTGTAATTTTCTAAATACTGATAAAATTCCTCATTTTCTAGATACGTAGGATTTTTATTGTTTTCTGACACCTAATTTTTCATAGGATTTATTTTAATATTTTGAAATTTAGTGACTGTTAAATTGATACAATTTAACATTATATTATATTTAAATTATCCAAAAAAGACCGACTTTATCTGATTTTGAAAAGGGTATCTTTTTGATTAAAAAAAAAAATGTACATGAAATATTTCAGATTAAAAAATATATAAAGTATTTAGGGTCATTTTAATCGGTAAAGAATACAATCCAAAGCTAGCTCTATGATAATACATCAAAAAATGTTTTCTATATTTAAAAAACAAATCCTGTAAATAAAATAAAATCGATAATGAATATTGTTGGAAATATATCTAACATTTTACATTAATACATCAGGCTAGCCCTGCCCTTTAGTTATTATCAGTGAAACAAGGCAGCAGAGTAAATAATAATTATAGAATAATACCATCAGATTGGCCACCAGGGCCGTACTTAAGCAATGTATATAAATCTGTCTATGAACTCACTCTAAAGCTGGATATTACATCTTCTCGCCTTAGATTATTGATAAATACACCTATTATAAGAAACATTATTATGCAGTGTGATAGAATTGTTCTCATTGTATCAAAGCCGCCATAAAACTTTCTCTGTTGCCAAATCTTATAGATAATGAAATTATTAAGAGTATTTTATGTTTTTGGAATATAATTTAGTATTTTTTTTTCTTTATCATCACACCTCCATACTAGTTTTCTTGTTTCCTATCATTTAAAAATTACCTTAATCCAATTTTTTAATATTTATCTTAAAAATGAATTAAATTGGCTTGTTCAGCAATTTTACTTTAAAAAATATATTAAACAAATTGATTGGTATAGTTTTACTTACACCAGATATAGGAACACCATCTAGAATTCCTTCCATGAATAAGCATGCATATATTTCAGATGAACTTCTTATTTCTGGGAGAATATTCATTGGAATGCCAAAAACGTCACATAGTTTTTGATCCCACTTTAAGGTTTCAATATTCATGAGCATAGTCCTAGATGCATTTGTAACATCTGTAATGTGCACTCCACCATTAATTCCCCCAGTAAGGTTCTAATAGAAGATATAAAATAAACATAACTTACTTACATTCAATAATAAAAAACAACTTGATATTTTTTAAAAAATAGTATACTAATGGATGAAAAAAGGAGGGTTATCTACATTTTTTATCAATGTTATATCCTAACTCACCCATATTATCCATGTATCAACAGTCCCAAATAAACATCTTTCTTCATCAACAGCTGTTTTGACTGCTGGTACATTATCCATCAGCCATTTAATTTTGAGTGCACTAAAATATGTGCTAACTGGAAGACCACATGCTTGCTGTAAAAAGTATTGACTACGTAGTCCATATTTTAAAATTTCATCTACAGTAGTATTAGTTCTTGTATCCATCCAAACTAAAACAAATCAATAAATTTGTGTGACCTGTCAAAAGCTTTTGATTATGTCAAAGAAAAATGTTTAACAATTTGTTCATCCAAATCATTGTAATCCGAAAGAATTCTGAGGTAATAGCCTATTTTAACCATCTATTATACAATTTAATGAATTAAATTTAATAAAAAATAACCTATTGCATTGTATAATGGTAGTCCAGTCTCACGGTCCCAAAGGATAGTAGTTTCTCTTTGATTTGTAATTCCTATTGCTGCTATCTCTCCAGCATCAATATTTAATTTGTCTAAATTATCACAGGTTACTTTTATGGTTTCTTTCACAGCATGTAATATTAATATAGGGTCCTGTTCAAACCAACCCTCCTGAGGAACAATGGAAGGTATTGGTACTTGGTGATAAGTAAGAACTTCTGCTGTTTTTGAGGCAAATACCTGGAATACATTAACTTGATTAAAAAAATGTAGGTAGACTTAATTCAATGTTAATTCACTAGGAATTATTTTTGTTCATACCACAGGGATTCAAAAAAATTTAAAACATTTATTGGGCACACACAATCCTATATCACAAATTGAATACTTTTATAATACAATTATATTCCAGTATTGATACTCATTTAAGATGAAAAAAAAGTGTATATGAAGCAAAAATCAAGCTTTATAAAGGGAAAAATTCTTAGTTAAAATTCCCTATTTTAATAAAGAAAATTATGTTATTAACTATGACTTTGGGCCCATTTAACAAAATTAGAAATCTTCATATTCCTGTTTCTTGAAAACAGGTAAATATAGCTTAATTCACAATTACATAATGAGGTTCATATAATAATACATCCCCTAAAATTCATTCATAACTGAAAAGGATAACTATTATTATTAATTACAAGTGAGAGTGGTTTTGCTAGGTAATTACTTATAAATGTCTTTCAACAATAAAATTTCATCAATTTCTACTTCTTATTATTATTTTAATCATTTAAGTTTTAAGCAAAATAGGTAGGTATGCACCATTTGTATTTAGTCATAGATGGGTCTTTTCCTGTTTCATATTTGTTGTTATTTATTGTAATTATATCATCATATTTTTGTATGAATTCATATAAATCAATATATAAGTTATTGGATTTGTATTTCATTAAAATTGCATTAGTATTACATTTTGCCAAGTTTTGATACACTTATTAAATTTGTTTAGAGTTTGATTGTATTATCTGTTATATTTTTATGTTGTTTGTTATAAAGGACTGTCAAATTGTTTGGGCTGGTTTAAACATCCTACTTGTGGAAAATTAATGAAGTTGAAGCAAGTTTCGAGAAAATACACATTTTTTACTTTACATTATTTTTCTTATTGAATATTATTTTTGAACTTCTTGTATCATATATGCAGCAATTTAGTTTAGTAATTATGGCATGTCCCTAAGCCTTTTAGTAAGTACAAGTGAAATTAAGATATGTAAATTTGTTTTAGGTTCTTCTGTGTTAAAAAATAGGAAAGTCATTTTTTTTAGAGATACTGCTTTTTGGCTTAGGAGGGCTTTGTCTTTGTCTATAGAACAAGGATGGATTAACAGCTATGGTGGAAAATAATAGGACCAATATGTACTTACTAAAAACCGTGTACTAGAGGTTCCTTCATCAATAGCACCAATTAAAGGACCATATTTAAGTGCTGTGTCCTGTTTCTCTTCGGCAAAAATTTCACTCATTTTTTCTAAAATTTCTGAAGGAACTATAGAAGAAAGCATACTTAGGCTTATAGATTCGTCTTCTACAGAAGTCGATTCCTGTTTTTCTGGAATAATATCAGGGTCAAGAACCATTATTGCACTATCGATATAACCTTTTGGTATATATGCCTTAAGTTTTGATGCATCCTCATCTGTATTGATATTCTCGAGGTCCTTAGACTCTACTAAGCCCAATTTTGAGAGCAGGTTTTCGTCAAAATTTACCCGCGAAGGAGCCGATTCCTCAATATTTGTTGCTTTGTCTAATATATCTGTAATAAAAGTCTTTGAATCATCTTTTTCTTCGGCTTCTTTTATATAACAAACCCCTTGATCACATTCATCTTGGTCAGGTGGGTTGTCAGGTGGGTCGTCAGACTCGTTTTTTTCTTTTGATCCAGAGGGTTTTAGATTTTCATCACTCATAGTAAATGATTTATTTAAAAAATTTACCAAATCATTCAAATAATTCCAGAATATAAGATTCTGTCAAAATTCAAAACAAAAATATCTGTCAACAGTGTCAGCTATCAAAAATATGTCAAGTTGTTAATTCTTCTTATTTAGAACTCCACCTTAAGCGGCATTTAGCCACTTTTACGGGAAGGTACTAAAAAGTCAGGGGCGGCGTGTTTTATTTTTTCAGTGGAATGCTAGGTGCAACGACTGAAATAATTTTGTTTACAAAAATCGAACTGCAAACATTCACAGTGTTATTCACGTAGTTGTCAAATTATTTATTAGATAACCTTCAAAATAGGAAGATCCCAAATTTTTGAGCATCTGCAAAAATAAGTCTGTATTTATAAACAGAACTCAAATGAGTCGGACTTGGGTGAGTCGTCGTCCTTGAACGAAAATCACAGTTTGGTTATATCGCGTGAATTTAGAGATGGCTAGTAATAAATCCGTAAATGTACTTAACAGCTACAGATTTATTAATATCCATCTCTAAATTTCAGTGTAAAACCGAAACCCGAGAATACCGTTCTGAAATCATTGTTATAGTCCATGCGCAAATGTTGTAATGTGATTTAATTAATAATCATGATATTTACTGTTCTTAGTCCTTTGGAAAAGTACATAAACTTAATCCTTGGCCGGTTTTGGACGAACAAGAATGGTATGCACAAAAATATCCAGAGATCCAGACATTCTATTACAACACAAAGAAACACAAAAAAATATCACTTAACAGCTCACAGCACATCCTTTGATTTTCTTTTACTATACGGAGAATGGTCGCACTACGCAGCATTCTGAGTGCCTTTTAAAAGGAGATAGAAAACTCCGCCATTTTGATTCCTTATTACGTGTTGCCTACATCTTGGCGCAATATTTTTAATAGGTGCGTTTTAATCATCCGCTTCTGCTTCGGAATTGTCAGTTTTCTTGTTTTAATCTGACAGGTTAAAACGACTAAACCGACAATTCCGGAAGCAGAAGCGGATGATTAAAACGCACCTGATATTTTGCTTGCTGCTGTCAGTGTATATTATTTTTGAAGTCACAGTTTATTGCTAAAGAATCAGTTAGCTCACTCGGACTAGTTGAAAGTTACAAAATAACATCCACTCCAGGGATACAAATTCAGGATACGCAGAAGAGTGCTGTTTTATTATAGGAGGTTGTCATATATTGTATTATCCGAGTTGCACAGTGTATAAACTGAAACATTGAGATCCAAAGTGCCGACGCAGAGTGAGCGATCTGATTCTGTAGCTGTAAACTGTGTCACAGGGTTCAAAATGGCCGCGCCCTATGTTGGGCGTGTCGGACCTCTCTCTTGCCTCGTATAGTAATCAAAGTATGTGAAATATCATAATATTGACAGGTATAAGAGGTGAAGGGGTCAAACATTTTGATATGTGCAAGTTTAATGGCTGAAATATATTTACATGGGAAGACTTAAGGGTTAAAAGAGCCCAAATATTTTTACATAGACAGGTTTAAGTAGTAGATATTTTGACTCAAATTGTTAAAAAAATAATAGTCTTATCAAGAGACTTAAAAATCAAGAGAAGCAATGTGAAGAGCATCTACGTGGTTTAACCTAAATAACGCTAATGCCTCACAAAACTGAGAAATCGCCGCTTTTTGGTCCTTCGTTCAAAATAGAACAGTTTTATTTATGTTTCGATGACACGGGAGGGAATCACCATAATTTAGCGTTTCTCGAATTTAATTTTGATTTGCTAAATTTTATGTATTTCCTATAGTTCAAAATATAAATTGGTTTCTCCATTTGAAAATATATTGTAAAGAAAAAATATTTGACTATGACTATGGATAATCTGCGCCTGATTATTATGTAGGGCTATCAAAACCTGACATTTTCAGGGGGAGCGAACAAGAAGATGAGAGCATCGAGCATATCCGAGACCTTCATTTATTAAAAGATATATGTTCAACGAGTTTTGGATAACATCGGCCAATATAAGAGAAGCACCTTTCAACGACGTGTTCAACTACATTAATTCTGTAGGCTGACTTACCAACTATAAGAAGGATGCCCAATGGGCCCAGTAAGACCTAAATGCCGTCAGGCAACCCACCGTCTACACGTTACGGACATATTGTAGAGATCTTAAGAGGTATCTCCAGATTTCTTCACAGTTTAGTTCAGCAGAGCAGTATTATCTAAGGTCTATGTAGCAAGACTGCAGCATACTAATATTGGTGACACAAAAGGCTTTGAGAGGTTCAAATCTCGCCACGCTTGAGCCAAACTTGAATAAAAATGGTTCTGAAGTAGGACAAGAATGACAGCATAGTTTTCTTAAAATTTATCTTTTTGAAAATACAAAAAGTTTTTTTAGTTTTAAAGAAGTCGTGTAATTTTAATTAATTCGTTAGAAAAACCACTTTATATTTATTTTTGAAGTAATTTGAAGTAATCTGAAGTAATTTGAAGTATTTTGCACTAATTACTAGTAATTTTGAAGTAATTTGCAGTAATTAGCAGTAATTTGTAGTAATTTAATAGTAATTTTATAGTAATTTTATAGTAATTTTATAGTAATTTTATAGTAATTTTATAGTAATTTTATAGTAATTTTATAGTAATTTTATAGTAATTTTATAGTAATTTTATAGTAATTTTATAGTAATTTTATAGTAATTTTATAGTAATTTTATAGTAATTTTATAGTAATTTTATAGTAATTTTATAGTAATTTTATAGTAATTTTATAGTAATTTTATAGTAATTTTATAGTAATTTTATAGTAATTTTATAGTAATTTTATAGTAATTTTATAGTAATTTTATAGTAATTTTATAGTAATTTTATAGTAATTTTATAGTAATTTTATAGTAATTTTATAGTAATTTTATAGAAATTTTATAGTAATTTTATAGTAATTTTATAGTAATTTTATAGTAATTTTATAGTAATTTTATAGTAATTTTATAGTAATTTTATAGTAATTTTATAGTAATTTTATAGTAATTTTATAGTAATTTTATAGTAATTTTATAGTAATTTTATAGTAATTTTATAGTAATTTTATAGTAATTTTATAGTAATTTTATAGTAATTTTATAGTAATTTTATAGTAATTTGTAGTAATTTGTAAAAAAATAATTTAAATTATTTTTATCGTTTGTCTAATCTCCAAAAAAGAAAAATTGAAAGTTGTTTTGGAGGAAAATGAGACTTTTGAAGATATGACTAATTTTTCGAAGAAATTTCTGTAGTAAATACGTTGTTAAATATATAAATAACAATTAGAAAGAACATTTTTACATAACAATGAATACACGCCAAACATATAGCTGTTTTTTAACATACTTTATTGATAATACTGATGTTTATCATCAATGAACGTCCCTGATTATTATCAATCATAAATACATGCGGAGTCATAGCCCATTGAATTGTAAATTGTTATAACAATAACCACCGCACAAGTTGTCTGCATATTTAAGGTTCGTTAATAAGCTATTCTTATGCGGTTGGCTGCAGACTGAATGATTTTGATACCTGGTTAGTGGTAAAAAATGATATATGTGTCGTTACCGTTCAATTATATTTACAAAATATAAATTAAAAGTAAAGCAAAAATAATCAAAAATTTAAACAAATTTACAGTGTTTTCTTCATATCAGAAAGTTTATTTTAATATTGCATTACATTCGTAAAATTAATAAAATTTATCAAACGTTTATTGTCACCTTTACCTTTAACTGTCTTATCAAGACTAGCTTTTAAAGTTAATTCATTTGCATATTCGTACTCTTTTTCGTTCATCTTCAAGCAGCAGAAAGCTGTTTTGGATGTGTTCTTATTACCTACTAAAAATTCTACAGCTACTTTTATGATTTTGAAATATCTTTCTTTGGTTTTTAATCGTATGCCACAATGATAGTCTAATGTTAATTGTAATGCTTATGGCTCTTTCTCGTCAGTCTTCGGTTCTTCCAATTTGTTTCGTGTCAATTTCAACATCAAAATAAGGTTGTTCAATTAATTGTTATTATTATTATCTAGCGACTAGCGGTATACTGATCCAAACATGGTAAAGAAATGAAATCTTATTGACTCAAGAGTACTTCTCATATCAACATTCTATACACTTTTGCATAAATGTAGCTAATGCTCGAAGAGATTTTTACAGTCGTCATTAACATTATCATCTTTACAAAGAAGTCCAATTATTTAGAAAGTTAATAGACAGATTAAGATAGTTAATGCGTTGTGTGGATATACTAACAAAAATATTTACATACGTTTTGTTAACCATAATTTATATAAACGTCGCCTTGCTTGATTATGCAGATACGCCAGTGGAATGATCACTAGCAATTTATGTCAATTTGGATGTTGACGATAAATTATAGAAGCACCTATTTTTTTAGAACGATCTATCAAGGCCAATATCAATGCAATAAATGTTTAAAGTAAAAAAAGAGGTAGTTTGTTAATATGTAGTATGTAGGTAATTCCTAATTGTGATTTTGGAATAGTTATATTCTTTATGTCAGTGGCGTAGCTATCATAGGGCAATTCGGTGCATAGCACCGGGGCTACGGAGATATTTGGGACCCGCTCAGGGGCTCTCTGATAATCATATAATTATTTTATTGTATTTAAATTTTAAAAATGAATGTTTTTAAATGTCTAAGAAGTATAGCACATTATTATAATACGTTCTCAATGGAGATAGTTGTAGCCTATTTTGATTAATACTCAATTTTTGGTTGTTTTAAAAATTAATGGGAAAAAGTAGTATATAGTGGGACATGGTATACCTATACTGGAACAAAGCTATCTAGCAGATTCCATTGAACAGTAGATGAATTATTTATCCGTTACAGTGTACCTTTTATGCCAAATAAATTGTGATCAAATGTATTAAATTTGGAAAATCGAAAAGACACTGAAATGTGTCCAATGGTCCCCCGTTTAACAACTTTTTTTTTCGACTTTTAATTTTCGAGTTGATTTTTTTTTCATCAACACTAAAATGTGTTCAATGGACTCCCATATGAATT